GGGTGGGGCACTTTGAAGTCCTTCCAAGCAGCTAAGCTGTGAACGAGGTATACTATTTGAGTGTTATGCGGCGGGTGCGAGAAGCTTCTCGCAAAAGAAGGCCGGGGTTATGAACCGACAACTCTTGGTTTTTGCGCCACGATAATGCACCGTTTTGATTCTTCGTGAGTTTTTCGCAAAATTTTCAACCAATATCGTGCCGCAACCCCTGTATTCGCCTGATTCAGCTCTGTGTGACTTCTGGTTATTCAACAAACTCACACAACAGCTTCGGCGAAACCGTTTTGAGGCCATTGTAGCGGTTAAATGTGAATAGCTACGCGCAATGAAGCTATTGCGCAAATTGACTTTAACAACTGTTTCGAGGATTGGAGAAAACGGTAAGACAAGAGACAAGTGTATTGCGGCCAAGGGGATTACTGTGAGGGGGGCGACTTAGAATTTGGAAAATAAATTTCACTCACAGTAGTTTGCCTATAATAATGAGTGCGATTTTTTAATAAGACTTGGTAATCCAGGTTTGATATCTAGAGGACTTCTCTTGTCTCCATTTTTCTGATAAGTGGGTTTTGTGCCAATCCAGTTAACGTAGAAAGGACATTTATGTATTCAGCAGGGGCTTGCTTAGATCCCACGAGAGTCTTCAAGCATCAGGTTTCAAACTTCAAAAATCTCTTTATCATATTTGGAGGAAACTTTTAGTTGTTTTAATTCATGTTATATTATATTATTATTTTTCCCAGAGCAGATTTTTATATTTAAAACCATTTAGTTGATTACTTTTACTATTTCCATAAATAGCGGCACATGTAAGTACATAAGTAATATTTTTATTCACTAATATTATTTCTGTGCGTAACTTTGACCAATTTCCATAATAAATTCATGAAATTGTCGCAAGCGTAATTAATTAATCGCTTTAACTGGACGCGTGCAGTGTGGGCAAAAAATGGTAAGAATGTTTTTTTTTAGGTTGGTATACATATATGTACATATATGGTATATATGTACCATAGTGAGCGCAGTTAACTATAAGTCAAATATATGTCAACATATGAAAAATTAAATGAAACTGATTTCATTGCTGGCAGTGATTAAATTAGTTATAAATTCTTGGAATTAACATAATTAAAATGGCCAGCGAGCACTGTATTTACAAAATTTAATTGAGGATAGCAACAAAAACAATTCATCCAATTACACATGCATACCTACATGCACACACACACATGTAGTAGTGTAGTGGCTCGCAAAATATTCGTTCAATCGTCAAGCTATCGATTGGTTAAACTTTAGTCAATTTTTTACTTTGTCCTTTCGTCGTTTATTTATTGGTGATAGTTGTCCGATTCTTGCCAACACTGCAGCGTATTCGAATTATTTATATTATGAGTGCTCTCCGATGAAGGTGCCAATTATGTAATTATTATTTGTTTCAGACAAACGGATTTATTTTTCATTTGATTCAATAAAAAACTTAGATTTCTCACCTTTCAAACAGCGGTGATGGAAAGTCATTGACCCGCGGAATGCTTGCGCCGTCGGCATGAATAATTTAAAAACGCACGGCATTTGCTTGCCATCGCATCATTTTAATGTGGAAATAATAAAGTGAATTGAAAGTGTCGTAAAACTGCAGCGAATTTTTTTTTTTATTTATTATCAAACTTCCGATTGCCCTGAAAAACAGTTTGAAACATACAGTAAATTTAAAAATGTGAAGGAAGACTGCTTAAATACTTGGTTTTTAAAGTGCCAAATCGAACAAAACTTCCAAGACAAATGAGTTCACAAAGAGCTTCGAAGGGTAAGCAAACTTAGCCATTCTTTAGTTGATCAGACGCACTGAAGAACAACAATGCGGCGGGGGCTGATGGATTGGCGGCCGAGCTATTCCAAAGAACTGATAAGGAGCATGCAGTAGATTATTTGTAGAAAATGGTCGGATGAAAGCATGCCGAACGATTGGAATTTATGTGTGCTCTGCCCAATCCACAAAAGGAAGACCCCAACTTCGCGTATAAGGTTTTATCGAGCACATTGTGTGAAATATTAAAGTCCACCGTCAACAAATAAATCTGGCAGTGAACGAAGGCAAGGCGAAATATCTCCTGTCTTCAAACAAACAGTCGACGCATTGACTCCCACATCACTGCAGCCATAACCTCGTAGTCGTAGATAATTTTTTCTATTTTGGAACCGGAATTAACACCAACAACAACGTCTGCCTCAAAATCCATCGCAGAATAACTCTTGCCAACAGGTGCTAATCTGGACTGAGTAGGAAACTGAGAAGTAAAGTCCTCTCTCGACGATCAAAAACCAAACTCTATAAGCCACTCGTTATCTCGTCCTCATTTCTGGTGCAGAGCCATGGGCGATGACAACATTTGATAAGTCGAAGTTAAGAGTTTTTGAGAGAAATGTTCTGCGAAAGAATTGTGGTCCTTTGCGCGTTGGCCACGGCGAATATCGCATTCGATGGAACGACGAGCTTCTCCCGACTTTGACGTAGTTCAGCGAATTAGGAGACAGCGACTACGGTGGCTAGGCTATGTCATCCGAATGTATGAAAACACTAAAGTGTTCGACGCAGTAACCGCCGAGGGAAGCAAAGGAAGACCTCCACTCCGTTGGAAAGACCCGATGGCGTAGGTTACTATCATATTTTTACAATATATTGTAATTAATTACAAATATGACAATTAATCATATACAACGGTAAAAAAGCACCGCCATGCCACTGTAATTTTTTCCTCGTTATTAAAAAATATTGTCTCCAATCTAAAGAACAGAAATGTATAACCAAAGATATATGTATGTGCTTTACCACATCCAAAGGCATTTAGAGACTTAATAAAAAAATACTAAAAACGGCTCTTACGTCAAATGTGATGTTCACAAAGTACCGTTAATGTCTATAATTAATACTATAACGCATGTTTATCTTTTTCACACTTTTCACATGTATTGCTCTATTTCTTTGATGTTAAGATGTGACGTATGAATATTTAACAGTGTGGAAAGGAATTGAGAATAAATATAATATAATATAAGCAAATATTACGATGGACATGGAGAAGACATTGGGGCCAATTTATTGTTGAATATTTTATTTTTTATTTTGCTTTCCCCTCACTGGACGTAACAAAATGCACTCGTCTTTGTGATAAAGTGGTTTGGCTTGTCCATGTACATAAAGGGTGATCAATTTGGAGGTTCCCTACTCTTTCAAAGAAAAGACACAGAAACTTCACATTTAATGGGGAATGTTTATAATCATATGACAGAACATTCTTTGGCATTTATTTTTTGAAGATTGTCTCTTCAAAATGAAGAAATATGGACGGATGATTCCGTATGCTCACAAACCACACCAAACCGTTTTTGTATTTCTTCAGGCATCGCTGAACAAAATTTGGCTCAAAAATGCCGGATCTTCTTGAAACTTTTCAAGAACCCATAGAGAAAAGTGATGGCACTTGGGAAGGTAGAGCGCTTTCAGTTGATGCACACGTTGTATTTTCATTTTCGTTCCATACGTCAGTCCGCGTTGCTGCGAACGGTGCCGAATCGACTCTCCACGGTCTTCGAGTACATTCTCACTCTACTGCAAAAAATTCCCCTACTTGGATCAAACGTTAAATGAATTTGGAATAAGTCGGTGTGCATACGGTATGTGTGGGAGGGTCATCCAAGCCTTACGAAAGTAACCAAAACTGGTGACGTCGGAGCATAGCGGCATCACCATTTTGACAGGGTAAAGTGGGCGCGTTAAAAAGCCAAAAATAATTTTGTGACGGTACATTTGATCGTTTTCTAAATCGTCATGATGAGCAAAATTCAAAGGGGAGTCAACACTTCCATGCCTACTTTATGACGCTTGCGTGAGAATTTTCAGGAATCTGTCTCTTACCGACAACTTTATTTAATATTTGATTTCTCAAAAGGAAATTCGAATGCCATGAAGCACTTGGAGGTTTCTTGGCTTATGTCTGCTTTGAGCTCCTCCTTCAAAGCCAACACCTGGATTTCTCAACAGGCACTACTCGTATATACATACATATATGTATGTGTATGAAATTCGCTTCTACGAGGCCATGCGAATTACTTCGGAATTTGAGCTATTAAATTGCTCTAAAATTTCAACTAAATTGACATACATATACAAGTCCTTATTTATTCTGTGTGGAGAAGAAATGAAAAGTGAAAGTGCTCTCATTGCCGCGAGTTCAATTTCCATTTCAAAGGTAATTTGCTAATTTTAAAAATGTAAATGCAAATGCCTGGGAAAGCCAAGCCAATGCTCCAAGCAGTCTATCCTCGTGCCGCGCGATTGGCGCATACACACGCATAAACGAGCATTTAAATGCGATTAGCGGCACTTCACATGTCGCACGCAATTATGGACATTTCCACCTACTTGCATGCTTACATATATATATATAATAAATATATAAAATATAAAGAGTATGTAAGCAGCACTCCCACTTTTGGCTGAATTAACCATTGACATAAGCATAAGCCCACGTGCATTTGTTGGTGTATGTGTGCGCATTTGTACAGTTATTTGTTTAACTTTTCTTCGCATTTTTTATTGTTGTGGCCACACAAGGCTATCAGCGTAGCCTAGCTAGCTCGGGAGGCGCTGACCAAGCCAAATATCCTTGCGTACGGCAGCGTGGTCAGCTCAGTTCGTGTCACGATTCTAGCGTAGCCACAACAATGTCGCTGCATGTCGCGCGCGCCAAATAACTTTGCCAATTATCGATTTTCACTTAATAATTTTGACTAGTGGCCATTAAAACTCACCAACAAACCGTCCGAACTCTATGGCTCTATGGGCGACCATTTCGAGTTTCGGTGGATTAGTGCACACTTAAATAGCGAAATTCATTTTGTGCCGATGTGCAAGAAAAATCTCAAAAAGTACCATAAAAAGTGATTTTCAAATATATAGAAAGACAAGGGACAGTGTTGGCCACACACATTGTTGTTCTATGAGTATGCTGGGTTTCGTGTATCTCTTCTTGATACTCGGCTGGATACTGATTGTGTTGTTTCTCAAGTGCAAAAAGTCGATCACACCGCATCTCGCCTTCACCGAGCACTACACGGACGCAATAGCGACGGGTGAGTGGAACTGAACATTGAAGTATCACATACAAACCCGTTTAATGTTGCCTCCTTTAATATTTGCTAGGTCGTCGTCCCTCGGTGCACATCATAGAATTGCCACCGGACGAAATGGATAACGAAGAACAATTTTTGGACTCATATCATCAGCAGAGTAACAACTTGCGCAGGCATTCGAATCGCTCACAACGCTCGACGCTGCCCGAAGAGCGCACCATAGAAACCACATATCCCACAGATGCGGTTGTGAATCCGGCGTATATGCACGACGAGGAGTACATCATCAATGGTAATTATGAAAACTTGCTCAAACAAGGCACGACGCCTAAAAGTATGCATTTACAGATAATTCCACACAACACGCACAAACACAAGTTAACTCACGCGTGGAAAGTAAAGCAAACAAAAGTAGCAACGCAAAAAGGCAAAATTTATTTTCCTCAACTTTTTCCATTGCAGCGCCACCGCCTTCGTATGAGGAAGTAATGCGCCAACCGGATGTGTATCCCAAAGTACACCAAAGCACGAGCAAAGTGAGCGACGCGAATATTTAAGCGCCACTCGTCCGCTGCGCTGACCTCCCCTCCGTTTGCACTTTCACCGGCGGAACGAAGTGTACACCCGACAAACTTGTGGGTTGCCTCTGAGTGTGGTGCGACTGTGGAACGCGTGGTACTAGTGCCTGCATATATATACGTACACATATGTGCACATGTCTGTACATAGAACTTTCAGCTGTGATTTTATACTTAATATAATACAAGTTTAATTTTTATAAATGTCAATCGTGGTTTAAATATATATTTAATAAATGGTTATGAAGTCTGTTTTGATCCACCTAAGAGCCGCTTTTAAAGTAGTTAAAAGCATTTTCAATATTAAACATTTTCGGTATTATTTATTTTGAACTTATTTTAGAAAAATTCTGAGTTTTTAATGCAAAAAAATAGGTGTCGGAGGCAACACAAAGGACGAATTCCTGTCCAAGTGAGCCGAGAGCTCAATTTTGGCTCAACGCTGCGACCTAACCTAACTTATGTTAGTAACTAATACTTGTATCAACTTACCTAGTGAAATACTTGTAAATGAAAGAGTGGCTGTCGCTTGTAAAATTTTTTTATTTTTTCTTTATCATCTTTATCCACTAGGAGACTTAAGTCGTGTTTATTTGCAGACTTCGCTTTCGGTCGTTTTTTAATTAGTATTTTATGTATGCATGTATTTACAATTAAACCTTTCAGTCCACATTTTTAATGTACAATATTTGGTTGCATTATCTCAAACAAAATTTATTTAAAAACTTATTTTTGGCGAACAAGTTTTGTACCACAATAATATCAAATACATATTGGATATCTCACACCTTCCTAAGCATGAAATTCAATTCAATTCAATTCAATTCAATTCAATTCAATTTGCTATTAGAAATGTATTGCGTACTCGTCGTTCAATACCGTTATTGTTTGTTAGCTAACTAGCGCCTAGCATTTTTAATATCTAAAATAAATATTCGATCTCAAATATACAAAATTACAATATACAGAAAGGAAGTTGATAGTGTAATATCAAGCCGCACGTTTCCACTGCCACACGCCCCTCACGCTACTCAACACAACTCTCCGCAAATCAAAAATGGCAACGCGTTTACGCACAAAACTTTTCGGCGCTGTGCATTTGTATGAAGGCTTCCAAAGCCTTCGGTATGAAACCCTGATATTTGAGTTTGTGGAAGGCGATGCAACGTGAGGCGATGCATTTCAGGGAGGTTAACGAATTCTGGTAGCTTAGTATCAGATTACTAATGCCAGCTGCAATAATTAGAGAAAAGCATGAATTTCAGTTTGATATATTTCGCATTACACACGCTTGTTTACCTGCATTACCGACTCGGGCTGGCGTCAAGCCATTCGCGTTCACCGCGTCCAAGTGTGCGCCGGCGTCCACAAAGAGCTTCACAATCTTTTCGGCCTGCACTAGTACGTGCGGATTGTCGCGTGGGGACTGGATCTGCAAATTTGTCGAGAAAAGTTTGTACACACTCGAAAGAATGTCAAATAGTTGGCAACTTACGCTTGAGACGAGCGTATGCAGGGGTGTATTGCGATCGCGGTCCACAGCTGTAACGGAGGCGCCAACATGGACTAGCAACAATGCAGTGCGGAAGCAAGGGAAGCTAGCAGAATATACAGAACATTTTAATTATATTAAATGAGGAGATGAATGTTGCATTGTGTGGCATTTACCGGCATATATCACTCGTGTAGAAATCATCAACCGGCGTTACGCCATTCACAGCCAAATGTAATAGCGTCTGGCCGTCTGCCAGGCGAGTATCGCATTTAATGAATTTCAATATCGTTGAGTATAATTGTTCGATTTGATTTCGTTCTATGTCGATATTGGTGTGCGCTAACAGTTTCGTGATGATCTTGATGAGGTAGAGGGCAGTGACGACATTCTGTTCGTTTTGATCCTAAAATGAAAAGAAATTTTTTCATTACAAGGAAATGAGAGTGAGAGAGAAAGAGGTGAGGAGAGAGAGGGAGAGTTTGAGCTTTTACCGCCAACATCTGCGGCACATCCTTCGGTCCCGGATGTGCTATTTTGTATTTATTATTTTCTATTTCCTGCTGACACTTCACCAACACAGACAACACCAGTGAAAGATCCAATGTTTGTTTCTCCAAGCGCAATATTTGTGAGAAGAGCTGAGCAAAGCGCAGTAAGTCGCGTTCCACTGAAACCTAGAAATACATGCAATTAAGATGAGTAAAAAGATTGAAGGCGATATGTGAGAGCTTACATTGTTGATCATGCGCAAATCGATAGCATAATTCCAGAGCACTTGGCACTGTGCAAAGCGTCCTTGATCGGCCATTACAGCGCCACGATACACGATCGGCTGCGGCAGATCCGGATAGTGTTTGCCCAAAATGCGCTCTCGTATCGTCAACGCCTCCATATGTATCGAATGATGATTCAGTCGTATAGCCTGTAGTTCTGGTATGTTCTCCGTTTCGAACCAATCGTCATAGGCTGGCACCGGCGCCATGACGCGCTTTCGTATCACCTTCTGTTCGTCCTCATAGCGCATTTCCATAGCACGCATCATGTGCTGATAGGCTTTCGTGACGTTGTAATTATCCTTATCGTTGGCAAATGAGGCACCCATCAACTCGATTGTCGTTATTGTCTGTGACGACAAATTAAGACATGACATGACTAATTATATACAAAACCAACAACTTTGCGTGAGCGCATACACACCTCCTCTTTGGTCATTAGTCCCGGTCGTGATATGAACATTTCCACTACCGCTTCGTGTGTCCGTTCGGCGGCTTGCAGAACTGGCGTCAGTCCGTGCTCGTTCTTTTGCATGCGAGCGCCGTGGTCGAGCAACAGGCGGCACACCTCCAGGTGGCCACACTCGGCGGCGTAATGCAGTGCGGTGGCGCCACAAAGCGCTTGCTCATTCGGATTAGCGCCGTTCTTCAGCAGTGTGTCCACAACATGGGCGTGTCCCTTGTAGGCGGCAATCATAATAGATGTGTTGTTGTAGGTGTTGGCCAAGTTCACATCGGCGCCGTGTTCAATTAGATATTTAACAATATCCAAACGTCCTGAAAAATTGGCAGCGTTAAAATGTATAAAAACGTTAGACTATTAACATTTGTTGTGGTCAACTGACCTTCATAGCAGGCAGCACGAAGTGGTGACGATTGTGCCTTTGTGTTGTGATTAACATCGGCACCGCGCTGCACTAACATCTTCACCACTTGCATGTGGCCCATGCCCGCGGCAACCCAGAGCGCGGTTGCGCCATACACCAGCAGCCCATCGAAGACAACGTTGCACTCGCGCTCCAAATCGATGTCGAACTGCGTGAGCAGCGTCTTCACGAACGTCACATTGCCCATCATGGCCGCCATGGTGAGGGGTGTAACCGACTGCCCATCGACTTCATCGAATTTCTGTAAATGTAAAGCAGCAGACATACATTTTATTGCAAAGGTGCATACAAGCGGAATTTCATAGATATGTGTGTGTATTTGTAAATATCTACGTTAATCTACAAGGCAATCGCCTGCCACGTATTTACATACATATTTACACAAATTGCCGTAAGAATTTACACTATAAACAGAAAGTTACGACGACATTTCAAACAAATTCCGTCGTTCTTCGGCCAGCACGCAGTTTTCGGCCGAAATACACGAAATTAAGTGCGAATTTTATTAAGAAAAGTCAACAAAGAATATTAATGTACGTAAGTATATGTGTAAACTGCATAAAATTATCGCGAATATTTATTTTTGCAAAACAAAAAACATAAATAATTTGAAATTTTATTTTTTTCTTACACACACACACACACACATACGAGTGCAAGAAAATCTCATCAAATTGAGAATATTAAGAAAGTCATATTTCCATTTCTTAAGTATCATTCGTCTTAGTGATATAAAATATGTTTCATGCTTGTTATGGGCTTTTACCCGGGTTGTCTTTAGTAGACTTCAGAAGGTCCGATTTAGGATACCTTTGATATTTGAATTGCGTTGCAATCATCTCGTTTGTGATATTTACGATCGTGTTAGTACAAGTTCGGCTTCAAAATAAAATGGTTCATGTCGGTCTTTGTTATGTGCATATTGGAAGCCTTCGCTGCTCTTCTTGGATTAACTCAACGATTTTCCTTTTTACTATTGTAAATAGAAGTGGAGGAAAGAGGGGAGTTTTCTGATGAAAGTTTCATCTCAAGACCCGTGAGAAGCACCACCTAAATTATTTCATTTTCGATAAAAATGATGTTACCGATTTGATTTACGAAAGGACTCCGGCACTAATTTAATCAAATACTATTAGGCAAACATATATAAACTGGGACATCAGAATAAACTCTGAACGGTTTTTTTTTTCAAATTTTATAAAAATCTCAATTTTTTTTTTAATTTCAATCTTTTTTTTTTTAATTTCAATTTTTTTTTAATTTAAATTTTTTTTTACAAAATTCTCTTCAAATCAGCCTTCCAAAAATAAAACTACGATGAGAGTGTAACTTTAAAAAATCCGTCAATGATATGGAATAGAAATTCCACACGAGTAGGATTAACTAGAAGAAACCGTTACTATATACATATGTATATAAATAATATGCAAATATTCGTATTTAAAAAAAAAAATAAACATGAGAATGCAAAATCATGGTCAAGGTCTATGCTCTTGCTTTTCCCTCGCCGCTCTTGCCAGTTACAAAAGAGAAACAAAGCAGACACGCCACCTTTTGGCCAAATGTCCAAGAAATATCTTTCAGCTTTCTTTCATAATTCATAAGAATAGGTCTCAATGACCAGAAAATTGTGCCCTATATACTTGTGTGTATGTAGTACATGCGCTGACATACATTTTTATATATGATGGCTGCATCTCTTTGACGTGTGTAGGCGAGAAATGGACATTATAGCTCCAAAGGCAATATTGGACTTTGCACACTTCATAACATATGTATATATTGAATGATTCACCTATTTACACACATACATATGTATATAAATATTTTTATTCATAGCTACAGCTATGGTCATAATAATGGTAAAATCTTATATTTTGTAACTATAATTCTATGGTGTAAAGTTAGACCGAAATCATATACTTTAGCATTTGCTGGATAAATATAAGCAAAATATAGGCATTATTATTGACTATAGCTAAATTATCTCTTTTCGCTGTATTTTCCTCAAGACGGTGGAATTTTACTTTTTTCACTTCTATTATTTTGGCCGCAGCTGTATGTTCATATTTTACCTTATTTACTGTGAGGTAAAGGCAATGATTTGCGAAATTTAAACATATATGGATCAACAAACTGCAAGGTTTAATGGGCTCTAAATTTAGATCTTACATTTCTTGTCAGCTACATAGCATCTAACCTGTCAAAACAGTCACTTTAACGAAACTCTTCAGTCAAGGTTATGGAGAGCATTCGAATGGTCCCTTAAGCAGACTTTTTAATGTATTACAACACAACCACCATTATTTATAGAAGTTTCAAAACTAAAGTATAACGGATAAAAACGTTTTATAACGGATGTACTATTGTTCTTGCAAATATTAAACTTATAGGAAATCTTAAAGGGGTATTCTACTCTAGAATTTTGAAAAATTCGAATTTTTTCATATATTTGAAGTTTAGACCCTTAAGAACATATCCTCCAAAGTATTTTTAAAAATTAAAATTATTTTAAGAGCTACAGTTACTTTTAGTGACGTGCTAGATACACACTAATAAATGACTTAGACTGCCTGAAATTTGACTTACTTTTTTAAACACGTTTTCTCGAACTTACAACCGATTTACTTGAAATTTTGTGTGAACCTTCTTTATCATTCCTACCAGCATAGTGCCAAAATTTGTGTTAATATTTTAAAAAAATTCAGCAATTTCAAAAAAAAAACCTAAAAAATTAGTTTTATTTTCAGGCGGTAGCCATTTAAAAAAAAAAAAATTTCGTGTTCCCTGAGGTAAGGACTATAACAGCATCCTTACTGATTAAGAATTTCTTTTGATTTTTTTCTTCAGACCACCAGGAGAGTCAGGATCAATGTCACCAGGATGCGTCATTTTTTTTACACCTGTCTCTCCTCCCCCTGCCCCCCTCTAATTATTTTAATTTTTAATATTTTTTTGTAAAATTTTTTTTCTGTATTCTTAAGATATCAATAAAAACACCATAAAAAATTGATAGTAAAAAAACTTTTTGGTTTTTTTTTTTAAATAAAATTCAAAAAACTGCTCAAAATTTGATTTCTAGACTAGAATACCCCCTTAATCAAGCGGTTTATTTGCCTAGACATACTTACATACATACGTATGTATTTCTAGTTACATTTGATTTTATTTAAATGAATTTTCAAATGCACTGCAGCTGTCCGATCGGAACCATTTGTTCGACCTTGGATAACTGTCCGCAGTCCATTCTGAAGATAAATCGTCAAATAGAAAAATCTTTCGTACAAGAATTTAATTTTGATCTATAACTTTGTATGGTAACCTATATCGATATCGCCCGAATCCGACAAGTGAGCAGCTTCTTGGAGAGAAAAGGACGTGTGAAAAATTTCATATCGATATCTGAATTAAATGCCTAGTTCGTCGCTAGAGGGGCAGAAGAACAGATGCACGTCGACTCAGCTCGTAACGATGATCATTTATATAGAGTATAAATATCTTTAAGGTATAAAAAGCAGTAAACATTTAAAAAGTTGAGTTAAATTGATTTTTGTTATTTCAAACTAGTTGTCTTCCTTTATTATATATATATTTTGCCTTTGCAGGCGGAAAAGACAAGAGAAACTGCCGCGTATGGGTATAACAGCGGACATAAACAGAATATTTTTTTATTCTTTGTTTTCACTCTTTTGCGATTTATTTTATTTTAATTAATTTATTTCTTAATTTGCGAGCGGACAATAAAAGGCAACTCACCAATTCTCTGCAACGGAATGCAAGTACAGCATGAACACACACATAACATACATAATATATTATATTCATAATGTGCTGGAGTGTGTAACATTTTACGGATATATTTGAAAATGTCTTGTCTAGATAATAAATCCCGAGTCTGTTGTGTATACTTCGCTAAGCGAATATTTTCGAATGTGTTTATTAACACGACAGTATTGAACACATTATTAATTACACAATAACAAACACATATGTACATACATACATAATATATATGATTTGTTATTGTGGTATTTTGTTTTTTAGACATGCTGATTTGAAGGTATAGTTTAAACATAACCCGAATAACACATAAATATTTAATTAAAAAATCGAATTTGTAGGTGCTACATGACTCGATAATTCACTAAGTGCGGAAAACTCTGAAAGAAAATTTAAGACATACTAGCATGTCACGAAATCATTTTTTTCAACTTAGAAGTGAAGTTACTTAAATAATGCAACCTATTCATTAAAGCCACTAAATAACATAACTTTTTGTGCAAAAAAAAACTCACCGCAGGATATGAAATGTAGGATGAAATGGGAGTCGTATTAGTGCCCCTCCAAAATTTCGCACCCGGCCAAGCCGACTCAAATAAACGTTTACGCGTTCTAAAAAGTGCAAGTTTAATTAAGAAATAAATATTATAGTTTAATTTTGAACATTTTTTTATCACTTCTAATTAGTTTTAGTACCGTATTCGCTCTGAATTCATTTTCTTCGTTCCGTTTGCACAAGAATGCCACACCACGGCACAAGGATAAAAAGCCAACTGTTTTAGTCCACGCATATCCTTCATGGAGTTGGAAAATTCAATAACATTTTGTGAGCGTGCGCTCGAAAAAATGTACACACACCTAGTGTTTGTATAAATGTTTCTACCGAGTCCTTTTGTCACAACATATGCTTTATCCTGAGTTAGCCACACAAAGCGTACTCTCCCTTATTTTGCACGATTTCCTTGTGGCATACCCCATCTGTTACAAACACACGTCAATATACGCATACTAACAGCTTTGGGAACGCATACATCTATTATTAATATGATCGAAAGGACTTCAGAAGGTACCACTCAGGGGTGGAAAATTCAGAATTGGCTCGTGTAACCTTAAACGGACAGCTGATATGTTATTTTTTTACCGCGCTGTGAGTACACGAGAGAGCAAAGCATCTGCTTCGGCACTGTCGCATACATAAAAGTGTGAATTTCTGGAGCGCGTGTCGCATTTTCGTAAAGATATTCAAATGAAAACAGTGATAGGTATAACCGTTAATATTGTACCAACCCACAACGTAAAATATTATATAGAAATTATGTTTTTTTGTTTTTTAATCATTTTTATTCATCGAAATCTTCAAGAGTATACACAAGAGTAATAAAAACTATCCACACACATGCATGTACATACATTGTAAAATATATTTATATCTTTGCAAGTTCTGAGCTCTACATTTATATAATATGTATATATATCCTGCATAACTATAATCTTATCAAAATTGCCATTCAGATTCTTATTTACTATTGTAACATCGTTCCTTCATATCCATTGAAACTTTGCTCTTCTTGCATTATTGTTTCGTTTTCCATTGGTTCTTCGGTTTGTTTATTAGCCTTTGTAATTTCTAGCCGTTTTTGCTGATTGCGTAAATTTTTTCTCATATGATTGTGAACGTAGTTAAAAAAAAGCATTGTACGTTCCATGAAAAAGACCGCATCCATGTGATGGAAACGCTGAAGGAAGCATTCTACGAAAAAAGGAGCACTCTTTGGAATCATAGCAACAATGAATAGCATTTTATATAAATACCTCGGAATATATCTGTAAATATATAATTTTTAATGGCCCGTTTTTTGCAGCGACCGTTACCCCTGTAGGAGTAACACTCAGCAGCTTCGTTTTTGAAAATACTACGCCATATATGTTTGATATATTTGTCTGGTTCATCAAAATGGCCTTGGAGTAGCTCAACTCTCTGTAATGTTAATTTTACCAAGTATAAACATAATTGCTTTGGTTGAAAATTTGTAACCACACACCAATTGATCACACTGATCTTCATCTTCTTTGAAAATAGCATTCCAATCCTCAAACTGTTGTGCTGTTTTGAATGGCTGTGTAGGCATGACTGGAGCTTGTATGTTAAAAAAGTCCAATATAGGGCGACTAACTTTGTTAACAGTTTTTACCTCGACGGGATCCTTAAGTTCATCTTTATTCCTCTGTAAATTTTTCGATCTGGAGGACTTTTTGTCATTTTTCAATTTGATACACTCAGTCTCGCTTTCACTGTTATCATATCGCTTAAATTTCGACGGCGGTGAGGATATCGACGGACTACAACTGCTTTCTCTTTTTAAAGCTGTGCCACTGGAGACAGAGCCTAAGCCTTCAGTTACTTCACGCCTCAAATCTACAATTTGTTTTGTTAATCGGTGGAAAAGTTTCTCAAAAGATTGACGCATGGTCAAAAGCTCTTCCATAACTTCATCGCAACACTTGCAGCGTGGATTACCGCTTGATCTTGGCATTTTTTCTATTTATACAATTTAGTAAATGTTAATATTTTAATGTTATTAGCATTCCTTCCGTTTTGCATATAATCAAAAATAATTTTATTTGCCCTAAAGAAGGTCATATTTGATACTTAAGAAGCTTTATTATAACAAAGCTTTATTAGAAATTTTCTCAATACGAAACTAATTTGAATTTATGTATTTCTAAAACTATTTCCCTCAATTTTTTCATAATATTTTAAACTTGACTAAATTTAAACACACACAACTAAGTTCCTCTTAAACCATATAGGCGCAAATGAAGAGCAGTAGTGGTCTTTACACCGGCATTGTGAGAGTGGAAAACCAATAGCCGTACTCTCACACTTATTAAATCCATTAACTATCACACATTTTTTTTTTTTTAATATAAAACGCATATATGAGAATGCACATATGTATATACTGAATATTTTGTATATTTCTACATATGCACAATGCATATGCACTTGAGTATTCTTCTATACATGCATACAGAAGTACGTATCTTAATTAGCAATTCAATATAATCCCAGTTTTTAATTATATGTTGCATATTTATCGTCTTTTAGAACATTATTTATCTAATTTGCAAATTATATCAAACACACTTTTAAATTCATAAATGCTCCTATCAGCATATTTTCGTATAAAATATTTTTAAAATATACACAAATTTTCGAGGGTGAACTTCCAATATTTTACCAAAGAAAAGTAATTTCAGTAGTTTATTTGCAACCACTTATTCCCTAGTTCCCAATATACCAACTAGTTAAAAATCTATTTCTTTTCACTTATAACGGGATCAGTATTATTTTCTTTTGTATACAACCTCAGTATTGATTGTGAATATACGAAGCAGTCTCTGTTTTTCTTCAGTATTTTCTAATGTCTTATGAAAACTGACATGTACTTCTAGTTCTCATTCCCTTTTCACGCGTTCTGTCGGCAATATAAGCGTTGCCAACTACGTAAAGATTTCATAATAACTAGCGGTCATACCGAACTGAGATAATTTTTCGTCATTTCATGCATATAATTTCTCATAATCAAACTAACTTCCTTATAATATATACTTATACAATTAAAAAGAAAAAATATATATATAGCGACAAAGAACGCAGATACATAGGATTTTTTCTCGTTTTCATTCGGAAATATATGTATCAAATGATGGTCCGATAATAGGTCACATATTTATGAAAAAAATAAAAATAAAAATTTTAATAAGTTTGGGGATACTGAAGTAGAGAACGTATTATACGTTCTCTGGGCAAAGTTCATAGAAAACATTGCATTATAGGTAGATGGCAACGCGATTGTTTGCCAAATAGAATGAATAGAAGAAGAATACGAAAACAACCGAATGTGCAGGGAAGCCGTGAGAGACTAAACAAAAACGTGTGGAGATTTTGAGCGGGTTCCTAAAGTAAATATTGTGCGCCAAACAGCAAATATATATAATTTTTTTTACAAGAAGTGCATATTATTACTTTTTCATTATATATAAATAACAATATAATTATAAGTGATTACACCTGTAGAAAACATTCACCGTAGAATAGTGAGTACATGTTTATGCGTAATGCAGAGCGTACATTACAATATATGTGTACGAACGCACTTATTTATAAATGCTATACCCTTAATGCTGAGTTTTTAATTTAAGTATTTCTTACTTTTTAGTTGACATGTCTATTACAAGTGAAACACCACGCTGTAACTGTTGTGATGATGTTATGGAGGAGATTTTATCAATGCGCATAAGTTTTGAAAAATTATTTTATCGATTACGAAAAGAAATAGTTGGACTGAGACGTGAAGTTATAGATGTGTTGGTAGGTAATTCCGAAACAAAGGATTCATTACCCTCAGATGAAACATTAAAGGTATTACAATCGAATAAGGCTCAATGTAGTGAAAAGTCTACATATACAGTTGATATTAGCATTAGTGACACGGAAACTGAAAGCTTACAATCGAAGAAATTAAAAAAGTGTACCGATTCAAAAGCGAAAACAAAGAAAAATGAAGTGGAGAGGGTTGAGCCGGGTTTAATGGTAACCACAGCCCGACCAGTTTTGGATTTTTTTAACATACAAGCTAGAGTTATGCCCACACAACCATTTAGAGATGCGCAGCAGTTTGAAGACTGGAATATACTTTTAAGAAACGACGAAGATCAACGCGACCAGCTAGTACGTATATATAACACAATATTACTATTAGTTTAAAATAAATACCTCGCACTTATCTATATAGCGAGTGGAATTAATGCAGGGCAACTTTAAGGAGCCGGAAAAGTATGTTATACAAACTTGGCGTAATATTTTCCATAATGATGCTGCTCACCACTATTCATATAGAGGAACTGGTCGGGATAAACGTGCAATTAAAGAATACATATTTACAGATATTTTCAAAGGTTTATGGATGGTTACCAATAAATACCATTTAATAAAATAATATGTTTTACATATCACCAATCTCATTGCAGAGATATTTTTACAACGATTTCAACACATGGATGCGGAATTTTTCATAGAACGAACCATGCGTTTCTTTAAATACGTACGCGATCAAAGGCGTAAAGCTGCACTAAAAGAGCGAAAACTTCAAGAAAAACCAATTGAGGCACAAGAAGTTGAAGTTGTACAAGAGCCCATGGATGACGAATAAATAACGTGAAAACATATATATTATATGTGTAATATATATATTCAGTCTTGCCAAAGCAAATATATATATATATATATATATGTTGCACCTATTTTTTTTAACAAATTAAAAATCAAACTTACCTGATTTTAAATATTATATATAATTTTTATAAAATATTGTCCACATATTTTAATTTATAAATAAGCGCACACTACATTTGTGTGATGTGATGTTTTGATAATCTTATTTATATTGGACGACTGGATACGCTTTAAAAATAAAATGCATTTATATACACATTTCTCGTAATAAATATTTTTTTAATTGTGACATTAAGCAAATTCGATGATTCTGCGCTGCATCTAACTGATCTTTGCTAACTTCTTATATTAGTATTGTTTTGATATTGATATTGAAATAAAAAGTAAGGTTTATGAAAACAGTACTCTAATTATAAATAAGTGAGCAATGCTTCCTTTGAAAATTCTTTTATAGGCGCACCAAACCTCTTTGTCATACCACTAATGTCTATTATTATTAAAATTATGTTAAATAGCTAGCGCGATATAGATCTGTATATTTGGCTATGATTATCACTTTTACGTAGTCGAATACAAACTCGCATAAATACAAATGTAAAAAGAATATTGCTCACCAAATTTACTAAATAATTGACCAGCTCTTTATTGTGTATATCGTTTGTGGCAGCTAACAGCCGTTTGGCATGATCCAATCTGGCGGCGTAGTAAATAGTTATAAGTAGAGGTGCATTCACTTTCTCCCCCGGAAAATGGAGCTGTACTTCCTCAGCTAGTTCTTCCATCATAGCGATCGACAATGCACGCACTTCGTTACACATAGAAAAGTATGATCACTTGGTTTTTATTAGACCAATAACACCAACATAAAAATTCCGTTTATAAGCGCTATTTTTAATGTTTTCTTTCTTTTTGCAAAGGTTAGCACTTTGATATATATTGCGTTTTATTGCTATATAATATAAATTACACGCACTTTTTATATGCCTTTTTGCATACTCCCACCCATTCCTTCCTATTAGTTTTCACAATGATTTTCCGACCGCAGCTGTTTGGAAACTGGCTAAGTTCGGGAAAATGTTCACAGAACTAGCTCAGCTGACCAGAAGTAGAGTTGCCAATGCGTCCAAATAATAAAAATTTTCAGTTTGCTACAAATGTATTAGAGCCCCAATAAATTGTTTACGTTACAAACTTGTGATTGTTTATATATGTGTATGTGTATAGCTATAATTTCCTTATATGAATAAAAAGATATACCTTAATACACATTTATCTTAAGAGTATATGTGCTAACGTGCGAAAACTATAGTTTTCTGGGAAACAGCTATCAAAAAAAAAAGCATCTCATCTTCCATCCGAATCAACTAAAAGGTGAAAATTGATTTTTTGACACCTAAGCCCCCTTTCCATAGGCCAGGTCACATATATGTTTTATACCCTAATTATTCTGAAGGCAGCAGTAGTAAATAGCTGGTGCTACCTCCTATCGCGATGACATCGCCCCAACTCCCAATGGCCATATCTGACCCATACACAGCAGAAGAAACTTGCTTTAGACATAAGAAAGGCTTTGATTAAAACTGATTTTTGAATTTTTATTTCAAATAATGTACAAGAAGTCACAACAAAGTATCATCAAATTTGCTTTTTAAACAGAAACAATACAAAATTTACGAGTATTTTTTTTTATGTAGAACTCGGGCGGTTTTGTGTTATACGCATAAAGAAAATTATGTGTGGAAATGCAAAAACATTTCAGTGTGTACAAAAAAAAAATTGCGTTTCATATGCATTTCAATGCAAATACAAGAACAATAAGGGCACAAGCAAATCCGCTATGCCTGTTATTTAGAAATATAGTTGCTATTGGCGCTTGCGTGAGGGATCTGATCTATACAAGTTTGTTTATTTCATCATTTTCTATTTTAGCAATTACTTATTTTTAAGTTGAGGTAAACAGTTTAGTTGCTTTTGTTTTATTTTTTTTTTCATTTTTGTGCATGAAGCTCATTTGAAGTAAAATGTAAATGAAATCAGGCGCGTGCCGATATGGTTCTACTGAAGCATTTGAGCAGGTCTTTTAAGAATCAGCTTCAAGATCCCTTGATTTTCGAACAATGTTGTAAGCGTAAAAGTAACAATTATATGGTAACTACCCATTATTGTTCTCAATAATATATGCTATATGTTTTAACAATATATCAGTCGTATTTTTGGTTCCTCGCGTTTTTCAACTAAATGAGGTCTGCATTAAACTAAAAACGAAAATATTCTCCCATCTCCACAGCTGGTGGCTAAACGATACTCAGCAAGCATAGATGATAGGCAACTGCTTGTTGCGAATCCCAATTTGATTAGACGGTATATGTTGACTTCAAAGCGCGACCAAATGGTTGCTCTTAACTTACTTCGATTTGATCACGTTTCTTTGGATGATCTCATATATATGTATGTATATAAATTCAATATTTATTTCAATAATTTCACATGCATTGCTGCGGCATATCTATCCTGTTCACTGGCATTGAAAGCATAAATCTCACGAACTCAATATATATAAGAATGAATATTGAGTCTCCTTTCTTTGACTTTTCGCAAAATCTCACAAACTCAATATATATACATTTGAGATGTTGCTGCATTTCAAAAGTCGAGCTTCTTTCATTTCATTTTTCGTAAAAATTTGGTGATTAACCTAAACGCACATTTTAAATTTTTTATTCACAGAAATTTTGAGCAAGGAGTTTACGGAACCCACTCTCTTCTATTTACTTCCACGTAACTCCTCGATTATATTTAGTAAGTTGATATGTTTTTAATTTAACACAAACTGCAATGCACCAGTCAAATCTTTGTTGCAAATGAAGCTTATTTTGTATTAAATTTGAGCGAAAACTGGAAAGAGAGTTATTTAAATTTAAAAGCCGAAAAATATATTCAAACAAATGTCTAGTTCTACATTTGCCAATCGAAATCTTTCTACTGGTTGAATATTAACTAAGGCAAGTCAAGTTTCATAACTCTTGTACAATTTGCTGATTTACCTGCATGTTTATAAAAATAAATTGGGTTTGAAAAAGTACCAGTTTGTATATTTCGTGTGTACTTTCTTACAAAGACTTCAAAATAAGGTAAATATAAATAATATTTTAAGATTAATAAAACAAATTTCAAGGCACCTTTTAAAATTCAAAATTCCGATTTGTGCAAATAAGTTAACAAGTTTTCGAATTCTTTTAGAATCCTATAAGATGTCAAACTAGAATAAGCTAACATTTTGTTATATAATTTTTTTTTTCTTTTTCAACTTTTGTGAAACTACAAGGCAAATGTTTAGTCTTGACAAAAGCGTGATAATACATTAACAAATTAATATTGTACTAAGAGCAGGCAAAGGAAAAATAAAAACTAATATAATTATATAATTAACTTCAGTAATTTGTTTAAACGTTATCTACAATTGTGTATTGTAGCTACAAGCGCTAAGCAAATTTTTACGTTTTTTCCTTTTTTCTTATGCTGCCAAATATAAATGTATAATGTATGTATGTATAATCTAATATAATGCATGAATGTTATAAAAAAGATAAATATAAAATCATCAAACTCTAATTAATCTTCACATTAGTAAATATTTCTGATATCTAAACGGTCAATTATACATATGATTACTATATATGTTTAAACATACGCTGGTTAAATATACTATTAGAAAACATTACTTTTTTGTTGCAACAGCGTCTGTGTAGAACTCATTTCTATCAACATTGATGCTTAATTGGTTACTGCTGCCGTTATGTTGATTGTGTCGACGGCGCTTTGTAGCTGTGCTTTTAAGGAGTTATTACGGGAGCGGGGGTTACGCTTACCGCGCTGAGGCTTGCCACCGTTAGGCGGAGATGAAGACTTAGTTGTGGAATCGGGAAGCAACCCGGCTGCGACTTGTTTGTCGCCGCCTGCGCCTTGTTCGCTACATGGTCGAGCACTATTGCCACCGTCGTTTTTAATGTTGCGTACTAAAAAGAAACTCATATTACATAAAAACAAGTAGATGAAAGTGATTTGGGCACTACCTCCGCGTCTATTTCGGCGACGATTATTGTTCTTAACAATCGGCTTAATAGTCGTTTTTGCTGGATCGAAGTAACTGTCAAATAAATCGGCCAACTCCGCCTTATCTTCTGCCTTAAGCTCCTCAATGACTTGCAGTATTTCGGAGATACCCTCTTTCTGTTTCTCACTCCAAATTGCATTTAGTGTTTGCAGGTCATAGCGCTGTTCGGCAAGTATAATGCGAAATTTGACAGCACGCACCCGATGGTAGAGTGTTGTTTTGAAATAGTTCAAAAACACCGGTCGGAATGAATTTTGACGCTCTAAATTCTCATTTTGAGTCTGTAGTTCATTCAAATCGCATTCGATGGGTTGTGCATACGCTTGCAAGGCGGTGAGCATCTGCTCCAATGCAGCAGGCGAATCAATGGGCACCTTTTGTTCTTGATTGCTTAACTGTAGTGCTACTTCATATGCCAGTTTAGCACGCACACTAGCATTGCCGTCAAACAACTCACGCTCCTGTGCTGGAGCGCCCTTATTTAACGACTTTTGAGGGCTCTGGCTCTCGGCTGTCACAGTCGTTGAGCTTATATTCTGGTTTGCTCCGCCATCGGAAGCATTATTGTTGATCTCGAGTGTTTTGGCGCTCAGGACTTTGGACAGTTTGCGCAATGTATAGTGTTGCAATGATTCGTTGGCATTGTCTTTGGCCAAATTAAAACCGTTAGCGAAAGATTTGACAGTGTTGAGGAATCTATCCAGCAGATTGTACTTTTTAAGCGACTCCAAAATCATATATGGAATGAATTTGCGTTCCTCATGATAGACTAGAATGATACCTTGCGATGTTGCATCTTTGGCTTTAAGCGCTTCCAGCCAATCAAGAAAATCTTTCAAGGCAGCGATTTCCGATTTGGACTTGATAATCTGTGCAAAGCCGAAGTGAAAATTAATTACTCAATACTAAAAAAATATTATAACAAACTATAGATAACATATTCCACATTAAAGAAATTTCTTGAAATTCTTAAAATATGTGAAACGCAATAAAGACCAGATTTTTGTATTTTTTGATTCTGAAATTTGAATTAAAAAAAAAAAATATTTTCACATTTCTTTCTGAACCACTATAATGAGGGTCAATTAAATATAAATAATACAAAAAAGCTACACTATGATGAAACTAATGCTCTTTCCAAGCGTCAAATGAGTAAATTTCTAAAACAATTTATTTTTTTAATTTTTAATTATGAGCTTGGCGTACAAAAATTTTAAGTTTTCAATCTGGTATTTGAAATTAAAACTTAAAGAATAATTTAAATTTAATTATGATTCCTTAAATATTTAACTTGCCTCTGTATTCACAATTCTTATTTGCACTAACAAAAATATTTAAATTTTCCACCCTTACCTTATATGTTTGCATTGATTTCAGCATACGATAGAACCCAATTGAGATCACACGTACTTGATGACGTTGACGAGCGGCAGGATTCAAGTTCATGTATGGCATAATATATTGTTCAAAATGATCTTTTGGGGTATATGCGGCCAACTGGACAATCTATGAGGGAGAACAAAAAACATTATTTCCATATATATTTAGATGTTTAAAATTTTTCATAACATTGATTTAAAAGTGAAGAAACAAATGAAAAAAGGCAAAGGTCATTGACTTCTAGTCAAGGCATCAAAAATGCAAAAAGTATAAAATTGGAAAAAAAAGGTGAAATGAAAAAAAAAGAAAATGCAGTTATATAAGTACACAAACAATATGGACCCTCCACAAGTTCATGAATTTATAACAGTAAAACGGATTAGGAGCAAAACGGAATCGAGTGAATATTCAGTATTTTAATCATGAAGTTTACTCAGCGTAAAAATAAACTATTGTGAAGATATGAGGAGTTGAAATCACATCAAAGAACTATGAACAACACAATTCAATTATTTTTTTTTTTATCGAATCAGTGTGTGACCGAGTTTTAACTCAAATAAGTCTTTGTGGGAATTTTCGAATTTCATTTTACTCATATGATGTATACTTACTTCATCGATGAGACGACGTCCCGTTGTGTCAATATCGATTCCTACCAAAGTGTACTTGCCTTTAGCCAAAGTCTTGCTCACATTGGTTGCATTGACTGTGCCATTGGTGATTACTCCATTAGCGGCGCCCCCGGCTGCGGAACTTACTATGCCGTTCTGGCAAGCATTTAATGAAGCGACCATTTTGCAAAATTTACAATAAAAGCAATCCAAGCGAAATCGGACTAATTCGAATAGTTAAATGCGCTGAAATAGAAATACATAAAATAATCTAATAATAACTGCTATCGTCAGATCGTCTAAAATTATTAAATCAAAATTCAAAAACATTACAATTCCTTTTAATTTGTTTAATTGCAAATATTTTTGCCTGATTGACTTCGCATATTTTGTTATATAATATTTAGTTTAATGGACTTTTTCATTTTACCTGAAGCAGCTGAACTCCTTTTTCTCTGCTAACAAAACGAACTTTTCTGAACGAACTGAATTGAAAATTTTTAAATTTCGATGTTAGCACCTCACGAAAGACAATTAATCCTGTGAATGTACAAAGTAAATCAGAATTTAACAAGTATTTTTCTAAAAACTCTCAAAATTTGAATAGAATTGCAAAACTTATTTTTTATTTAAATACTAAAGTATACTTGCTATAATGAATAAAATTCCAATGGGAGAATTTTAAGATGGGTTTAACTTCGATATTGCTTGCGGTCTGCGCAGTTTGAATTCCAATTATCAAATAAACTAGTGAAACTCAGTTGCAGCCGTTGGAAGTGTGTTTTGTGAGTTCGTTATCAGTTAGCTTTGTTAAAAATCGCAACAAAAAAAGAAGGTACCTACTAAATAGACGAAGTGAATTTGCAGTTTCTTCGAAGAGAACAAGAAAAATAGTTAGTTTCAGTTGCAACGAAAAGTCTCCAAAAAAAAGAAGTTTATTTTGATCGGTCAGTTTGTATTGCAGCTATATGCTATAGTTTAGATAAGAAAACCAGTTTCTTCTGAGGTTCTACCATTACTATAATCTAAATGAAATTTAACGAAAATATTTTGTTAAATAAAAAAAAGTTTTTCCTAGGACATGATATAATATGGCAGAAATAGTTGTCCGATCTTATCGATTCCGGCAAATGGGCAATTGATGAGAAAAGGGATTTATTATACCGTGTTTAGGGCATAATCAAGGATCAAAGCGGGTATTTGTGGTGGAGAACTTTACAGCGAATGCTGTTTATAATTACATAAGAACAAAAACCTCACTCAAAACGGTACATTTCCCGGTTGATGGGACAAACAGAATTCTGTTGCTTACATTGTTGTAAATATCAACTTGAGCCAATCTTGTCATTTAGCCGTTCGCTCTTCTCCAAACGAACTATATAGTGTTTGATTAAGGTTTTTCTCTCCAAAATTGACCTATAATCTCGACTCCCTGCAAGAGTGCAAGTCATCGGGATGTAAGAAGAGCCATATCAAACCACGTCAATAAATAAAATAAGTAAGTATGTATATATTACACAAATGAACTCCAGTGCAAGGTTTTAATGGCCCCAGATGGTATTAATGCCTTATATGAAATATTTTCAAGCAGTTATCGATTCGAAATTATGAGCATCTTGAGAGCAACATTCTAAACAACTTGTTCACTGCAGATTTGGTGTTATATGTCTCATTACTACCGCTAAATACCCACCTGGTTATGACTAAATAGCTTGACTTTGCAAATTGCCTTATTTTTATCTAATATAATCTAATTGATCACTTGTATATGAAATGTCTTATTGCATGCGTTTCTAGGCCACGATGCATTAACCAAAAAGGTAAGAACTCTAAAATGACAACAAATTTATACTAGAAACGGCTGCGCACCATACTCTCGCAACTGATAAGAGGGAAATTGGAAACAATTGTGGATATGGCAATATCTACAACTCATGTATACCTTTATATAAATGCAGAATTCTCAGAGCCATTTCGCAAAGGTGAGCTTAAATATAAACCAAAAACAATTTTATATACACGAAATTTATAGTAATATTACAATGATTTATTGCGAGCGATATTTCTTTTTTTACTAACTTCATTTTCTACAAATTCTCAATTAAAACAGAGCGTTGCTATTCAAAAATATAAAGTTTTTTATTTAGTGGTCTGGCAACTCTTTTAGAAGGCCATCAATGTGGTGAAAAGGTGAAATAATCTCTTTTCTTTAGTATATTGCCTTATTACTTTTGTTGTGCTTACCACCGCTATCACCGTTTTGTTGTCGTGTGACATTTGGTGATAAAAGCTGAAATAAGGTGTTATTTAATAACACAAAACAAAACTATTTGGATGAAAATTTGTTTGCACATAGTATAAAATAAGCGAAATTTTTAGTAATCCGTGATAGTGTCATATTTACTTAACTATTGCTTTAATATACACTTTTAGTAAGTTATATTTGTATAAGTAACAATAACGAATAACGAACGCTAAGCGTGAAAAAGATAAGCAAACGCGGCTGAGCGATTGGTTCAAATATTTGTTGATTGGCACAAATAGATAATGTTGTCTTTCATCAGACGAAAACTATCGGAGACGGACTCGGGAAGCGGCCGCAGTACAACGCTTTCAAACTCTTCAACAGCCCGCACGGTAGACAATATGCTCGCACAAAAAACGATTAAAATGTCTTTGGGCAATGAACCCATACCAATTGGAGAAGACGCGTTGCTGCAAGAGTTGGGCTATAAAAACGCAAATGATCTGCAAGAAACTGTATATGGTGAGAATTTTAGTGAAATTTTAATTTTTATTTTTATTTCGTGCAGATGTTTACAATAATTGAGTGTTGTTTTAGATGTCCTTCGAACAATAAGAGATCCAGAAAAGCCATGTACATTAGAAGACCTGAACGTTGTCTATGAAGAAGGGATCATCGTGCAGCCGTCAACAAAATCAAATGTATCTGTGGTATGTATAAAACTGTATCTTACTGCATATTTGAAATTTAAAGAATTATTTAGATATATGTACGTATACGTATTTTTTTCATCTTTGATGAGTACCGTTGCTTTAACGATTAAACTGTAAATATGCATGTAGGTAGTTTTATTTAAAAGTTTATCCGCTCACTACCGCAATTTGCTCTATGATGGCGTGTTAATAAGTTTTTCTTCTCACAGATCCGCATCGAATTTAACCCCACTGTGCCACATTGCTCTTTGGCCACACTTATCGGACTATGCATCCGTGTTAAAGTCGAACGCAGTTTGCCGCATAATATTAAGCTGGACATATACATTAAGAAGGGTGCGCATACAACAGAGGATGAAAGTAATTTGACACATGCTTTGTATTATTATTATGCAGAGTGCTATAAAGGAATCAATTCTGTTTTCTTTTTTAGTAAATAAGCAAATAAACGATAAGGAGCGCATTGCTGCCGCTATGGAAAATCCGAATTTGCGGGAACTAGTGGAGAATTGTATAAAAGCTGTCTCTTATACACATCTAGATGTGTATAAGAGACAGTTAAGAAGGGTGCGCATACAACAGAGGATGAAAGTAATTTGACACATGCTTTGTATTATTATTATGCAGAGTGCTATAAAGGAATCAATTCTGTTTTCTTTTTTAGTAAATAAGCAAATAAACGATAAGGAGCGCATTGCTGCCGCTATGGAAAATCCGAATTTGCGGGAACTAGTGGAGAATTGTATAAAAGAAGAAGAATGAAAAAGCACTAACAACTAAGCTCTGAAATATAATTAATGTAGTGTGTAATACGGTTATTTAAAGTAAGAAATGTAACACAAAATAATTAGGATCCACAAAATGTACATATGTATATTTTATATGAACATACGATTTTTTTAATATACTGAGTTCAAAAGCTGGTTATTGTTAATCTGTCTTTGGCGTAAAAATTTAGTGTTTTTATGTTTAGTTGTAATACCTTTTCAGTTGAGTGTTTTCATAGTTTTGGTACATACATACATATGTACAAATATTTGTGCATATCTTGTATATGTATTAATTATTTTACCAATGTTGTAGACATTTAAAAAGCGCAAACTTACAAAGTGTTCTTTTAATTTACTTAATACCTCGCAATACTTAGGCACAGATAGTGTGAAAATCTAACTACATACACATCGACGCACGTATTTACATATGTTTATATACACGTGTGTTAATGTATGCACATACATAAGTTTTGGCACGAGCTGCTTATAAATTAGCTCTTAGCTCAACGTTGTTTGTATTGTAGCCGACATTTTAGTATCTGTGCTGTCGATTTGGCCGTTTGTTTATGTCTCAACTGATAAGAGCGGGTCGTGCGCAGCTCCAATATGGCCGGCTTTCTATATTGCATATMGCATATATGTATGTATGTGTATGCGTATATGAATGGTGGCTCAATAGATTTGTATCGCTCAAATACCTAGCTCCATTCATATGTACGTGCCGGACACAAAAAACATGCAAAAATTATCTTTGAAAATATTTTTTGTAATACTATATCATATATACATACATACTATGTACATATATATCTGTAGTTGCGTTCACACTTGCTATAGTTGTTATCACGAGCATACATATGTAAGTATATATTTAGATGGTGATGAGCAGGTTCACAGTGTCATCAACAAGGCAAAATCTTCCGAATTCATAGGCCCTGAAAGTTTGTGTGAAGAATCGGAGGTGTGGTCCCACTAATGAAACCTCTCTACTCCCGATCACAGCACTTAGCGTCATAAACGCCCAGATTGTTGACGGCCTTAGCCAAAAGATACCCTGCGAGAACACAATCCTCCGCTACTTGAGGCATTGAAAAATCTACGTACGTCCTATTTCAAGGTAAATACTCCAAACTGAGAAGAACTTCGCTGGGTGGTGTCCTCTCTCCGTTACTATTTAACTTCTACATCTCTAAACTACTACAACCACCAGTAAGAATTTTGATCAACTCGCACGCTGATGATTATACGATAATGTACTCGTATTATACTTAAACGTAAACAGCTACCTCTCCGTCCTTTATCGCTTTCTCGCTGCACGGAACTTAACACTCTCCCCCACTAAATCCACAGCGACCATATTCATAAACTGGACGAAGGAATACAGACTTGACTTTAACTTGACTGCCTCTCAGTGAATGGCGTACTTGGAGTCAAACCAGCACCCATTGCAAAGGATAAGCTCGAGTTGCCGCGGGAAACGGCAGTGAGCCTTGCGCAGCTTCGTTCTGGAGACTGTAGCAGGTTATACTCCTAATTATCTAACCCTATACATCTGACACTCTTCTTCTTGCAGTCCGACTCCGTTGAGACAATAAGTTTCTTGAGCCTACCCTTGGATGACGTCGTTACCAACTTACCTAATCCTTACCATCCCAACGGGGATTAGATACTCGTTACGACAACAACAATGTTGGTTAGTGATTAAAAACTGTCGTTGTCATCCCATCCCACATTAAGTATAAAGAGAATTTTGCTAGTCATAGATCCAAACAGCGTTAGATCGCCGAAATAACTGCCGATTGAACTGGCGACACCCGAGGCGATCCCATCTTACGAGCTGAACTCGCTGCCGATTCAACGAAACTCTGGAGCACCTGCTTCTTGATTACGCAGCAAACTGCAGTCGCTGGAATAAGGCACTTGGATGTATGTATCCGAAAAGGGAATTCATTGCATCACAGGCAAGATCCTAGAATTCCTTAGAATTCATCAAACTACCGTCATCTCGATCGCTATTTTTAGAACATTCTAAGGTCCTTGAAACAGCCTTGTAAACAGAATTATTCTATGAGTAATCTGGACAAAATTCTCATCGTGACCCTCTGCGCATATTAGTGCAAGCCTCCTTCTGTATAGTGAACGGTTTCGCAAAAACTCCAAACTGGAGAGTAGAAAATGCATTCTTACATACGTACATGCACATATACATACAATCAAATTGCAGCGATTTAGCAATTGAAGTCGCCGGCAATTTTCTTTTGCACACGAAACTATCACCAACAGTAAAAGTAACAAGAAATGCACGAGAAATAATGAATATTACAAATGGTTGTGGAACTGCATTTAAATGAAGAAGGAAGCGCCACAACGGTTAAAATGTGCTGAAGAAAGATTTACCGAAAGCTTTTAACATAATCAAAGGATAATGCAAAGCCAGCCATGTATGAGTTAGCGGTTAATGTATTCCTGGAAAAACGAAAGCAATTCGCAACGGCCAGGCAACAAGGACTGGCTGCAAAAATATGAATTAATCGAGACGAAACCATTGCAGTTAAGTGCGCAGCAATATTTCCTCTCGTTGCGCGTGTGCTTCCTTGGATACTTTGGAATGCAAGCAATGAGAAACACACTTGGCACTTGTTTATTTTGGGGCATTGCCACTAATTGTAAATACTATCTCAACTAATGCTTTTATAGGCCATGTGTCTATTCTCGCGTTAATGTTGTGAAAGCACTGGGACTAAGATCTGTGGCATGAAGGAAAAGATATTATGCGAGCTCTTATAGAACTAGAACTAACTACTATAGTCTCTATTGAACGATTCTGAGCTGCTCTGAGTGACATTTTAAGTTTGTAAGTCTGTTATTACTAGAGAATACGAGGAGAATATTACGAGTATCAAAAAGTTTTTCATTGTGTCGATATTGTAGTCTCAACACAGAGTGCTACAGTGTAATAGCCTGAGAAAACTTAAATGCCCGCTTTGAGTGATATTCTTTGCGTATCATGTCTGATGCTAGTAGTGGCTGATTTGCTGCCAGGCTTGTTTGAACGGTTATTTGTGGATCCAACTTTTAACTCATAGAATACATTCGAAAGCTTCAAAATCTTTCCCGACTGCTAAAGGGTTTCATGTGACGCTTTTCCTGGGAGAAATAGATTTGGTGTGAATGGCTGTCGAGTGGCGGTATTATTAGATAAATTAAAATATTATGTGTGCAAAAAAGAGTAAAACTTTTTAATTTAAATTTCGAGCGAAGGCCGTTTGATTATACAAAGTGGAGCGAGAACGCTTTGACGACGAACTACGTCCAGAATGGTCATCAACATCAACTGATGATCAAAAAGACAATTGAATAAATAAATTGGTGCTTGAATATTATTATTGACATTAATAGTCAGAGATCTTACTGGCATCGTTGGAATATCGGAAGGATCAGTGGAAACCATTTTGTAAGATAGTTTCGGCCTAAGAAAAGTAAAAGCACGATTGGTTCCAAAATCACATAACTTTTCCGAAAAACAACGTCGCGTTAACGCCTGTAGAAAAAAGCTTTCCGACTACCAGAATGTAATGAAACGTATTACTCGTATTACTGCCGATGAGTCTTGGGTCAATGCTTATGACCTGATAACAAACGATCAATCGGCGGAATATCATGGCAAAGGTGGGCCGAAGTGGAAAACAGTCTGTCAAAGCAGGTCAACAGCAAGCTTATGTTGACAGTTCTCTTCCATTATCGAGGTCTGGTGCAAACCGCATGCCATTGGTCCAATTAATTAAGAATTTTAAAACTATGAACAAACTCTTACTATTTTTTGCTCATAGTAGTTTTTGGATATTGGCAGGAGCAGGGCTCGAATTGTTCTCTAATTGCTTTTGGTTGCCTCATAAAGCTTTGCGGAAATTTGCAGAAAGCTCAACTATTTCTACTAGGAAATACTCTTTTTCTACTGTCATAGAATTGATGTGAAGTTTATCAGCGCTAAAATTTTTCCACTGAAAATAATAATCAAGACATTTTATGCAAATTTATCGCTTTGATGATTTAGCAACTGTGCTCCTCATTCTCCATACTTTTAAGTGAATACTGGAGCATAAATGGGCCCATGTATCAAAAGAGACTGTGTGTGCTACTGAGTGCCTTCATAGGTAAGTGGAAGAGGGGCCAGCGACTATTAATGGACCAGTTGATTTGAGCTGCTATATGCAAACACACCTACACATCTACACAGAAGAAACCCTAACTAACTAACTGTGCATCGTTTGTTATTTCAATTTTGCATATTCAGTGCACTTTTTAGTTTTACCAACTCATTTCTTCCACTTTATGACACTTCCCTTACTTGACACGAGTTATGCGCGATGTCCTTCGTCGAAGACTCAAGGCTATTGGGCTCGTTATGGCAACGCAGTTACACCTCTCCGCGAACGCGCGCGTGTGTGTGCTTCGATGAAATAGCCTGGACACAGGCGCTCCACAACGGCAAGTCAGTGCTCGCAAAGGAACGCGGACTGTAATGGTACTTCATCCAAACGGCAAAGAAATTATTGGTTAAAGGAAGTAAAAAATGTGTGGCAACTAAAAAATGTCGATGCTTCGCATAAATGAGGCACACTTCTGGGCGCACAGGATGGGAGTGTGTACACATCCTAATCGAGTATTGGTGCGGCATACAGGCGAGGAGGGCAAAAACAGCGCCGACATCAAAGCGGCCGTTCGAAGTGGCGGCGAAGAACACGGATCGTTCTGATTGCTACGCCAATTAGCGTAATGAGTGCCGCAGCGCGAGCATATGGCGCTTTTTGCGCCCCTTTCTTTGCACTCTTTCGTGCACTTCATTGTATTCCTATTGTGCGCAACACAGTTTCAGCTTTTTCTCGCTTCCTAATGGTACACAGCACCTCTGCCTCGGTGTGTGTGTGTGTGCGAAAGCACTTAGTACCGTTGAAGACACTTAAACCTAGTTTTTACCGTTTTTTGCTCTAAATGTTTAAATGACCTTTTGTACTCGTTGTGTGTGAGTGTAGGCGCTGCCCGTGCATGTGTGTCAGCAACAGCCAGTTCGAGTGTACCTTCGAGCTGATCGCTACTGCCTCTACCTCCCTCATCTCTCAGCACATGCAGTGTGCTGTCAGCCCTCGCAGCATCATAAATG